TGGAGCGTGTGTTCCAAGATGATGTTTACGCGCTTTCCCGCGTATTATAAGAAGCGCCGTTGTTTAATCTCGAGGTAGCCTGGGACGTGAGGTCTGTGGAGGGACGGTGCATCAGGGTGTGGTGTTGTCGGTGACAGAGGTCGCACTTGAAGTTCGATGAGCAGTCAGCAGCCCGGTGAGCCCCCAGGCAGCGAAAGCAGAGTTTGTTGTTGATCGCAATTACTCTTCGTTCGAAGTAATGGAGCTGTCTGAAAGCCTGACAGTCCAGGATACGAAGTGGTTCTTTGTTTTGTTTAAAGTTACAACTAATGATGAATGTATGATGTGAATTAGACGCCAATAGATTTATTCAATTTTGAATGAAACACTGTTTTATAGAGAGTGTCAAAATGGACCAATTGCCCCATCCCTGGGACAATGGGTTCATGGGCTCAGGTTAAGGCGCCCACCCCTGGTCCCTTTACCACAATTGCATATTATTACAACACTTCTCTTTAACTTCACTTGTTGTTTGTCTGTCAGCTACAAATCTTATAATCGATATTTAACATACTTCTACCTGTCCAATCGATCTAAAATCGTGCACACTTGCATGAAGTAAGAGACAATGCATGAATCAGTTGACAGAGTAAATAATTTTGAAAATTTACAAAATTTGTATATACTAAAGAAATTTGAGAGCTAAATTTTTTAAGTGAAAATAAAATTAGAAATTCATTGTAGATGCGTAACATCAAAGACACTGGATTCTAAAGGAGTGTTGTCTTTAAAAAGTAATTTTTAAACGCACAATATTTTTTGTTTTAAATATGATAAAACAACACTTTACAGTTTGAAATAAGAAAAATTTCATATAAATATTATATGCATTCATTTATTAACAACTTAAAAAATCATATCCATAACTTGAAAAAATATATTCTTGGTCTAAAAAAATCTATCACTGACGTGAAAAATTATTTTCTTGGCATATAATATTCATCCTTGACATGAAGAATTGGATCATTGACTGGAAAAAATATATTTACTTGACCAGAAAAAACTTCGTTGCAGTTTCGTCCACAATTCAGGTATAATATAATAATAATACAGTGGTTTCAGCTTTTATTAGGCCGTAGGCCTGTCGCCGATTCCTAAAATTACAGGACATTCACAGCTTGTTGCGGTCTCGAACTCGCAACTCAATGCTACAATTCTGCTGTGCTTAACCGCCCGGCCTCCTAGCCGAATCTGACCAGAAACTGGCGCACAGAGCTGGGATCGAACCCGCGCCTCTCTGCGCCAATCTTGGTACTCTGAACTGTAACCAGTGGGCCACCCTGCCCAAAGAAATTCATGTTGTTGGGGGACTATCTCTTATCAAACTCGCGTCTCCCCGACACATAGCACGTGATCGTTCTGCAAGACTTTAATTGACTTCTTAAGACCAAGGATTTTCTTCAATGAATAAACAGTTTCAAGTAAATATAATTAACCGTGAATAAATAGAAACAAAACACAACAAACCTAACACCCTAATCCTAACCTCACTAACTTGACTTTAACCGTGCGTTCATTCACTTTCACTTCACTAATCACGTCCAAATATAGAGTTCATAACTTGGGCTCAAGTATCAAGTTCGAACATCGAGGCCTTCCTGAAAATAGAACAAAATAATGCTTGAAATAACTAACTAAAGAATGAATATATAATAAACAAATTAACACGCACAAATAATCAATAACACGAAATTAAAATCACTTCTAAAATTGAACAAACGCAAATATAATCACAGAGATATCGATTAACGTACCTCCACGGCAAGAACACAAGACACAATGACAGGTAAAACGCAATGTTGCTGGAGGTCACGGCTAAGGTGATTGAAAACTAAAAATGAAAAATCAACATCCTAATACCTAAACACTTAAGGTTACTTATCACTAGAAGAAAATCCACGTCGGTCCGGGTAAAATCAGCACGGGTGTTTGCGCTATCTCACTGCAAGGCAGACTGAAGCTTGGGGTGTTTGTAGAGCAACCCAAGCGGGGCCTGTTTGTCCCAAAGAAAACGGAGTGTCATTTAAGGGGGACTATGACAAAGTTCTGCCGGGTATAGATGATGTAGCTGAAGGGTGTGTTTGAAGCTGACGAGCGTCTCAGAGCGACGTCACAACCAAGGCTTTGAGTTTAAGTTTAATCCTGCTTCAAAGTTATTTGACTACCGCAGTAAGTGGTCTTATTGCTTTTGAATATATAATAAGTCTCGTTGAAAAACTCCTCAGTTAACCGTTAGCTCAACCGAAGGTGGGTGCTGCTGGTTTTTGCATTGTTCGCAAGTGACACAATGGAATTTTGACCACCTGACTACCACAATGATGAATTCGTGATATATTTAAGCAAATAACTTATAATATTAATTCAGCTCTTTTGGACGTGATAAGTAAGAACTTCAGCCACCAACTGAACATCAAGTCGGTCAGGCTTGAAAGGTCAATTAATTGATTCCTGGTTAGTAAAACGTACCTGCAAACAAGAAAGAAACCGTTCAACATTAATATTGATAGATCGGGGATGAGAATATTTTTTTGATCAAATAATAACACAATATTAATCTTTTGGAGTCTTGATAAATATTCATTGTTTCTGTTAAGGGACATATGTCAGCATTTTTCTTCATCAATTGATTTTTTCCTAGTACCATTTATTTTGTTTTTCATATCAACTTTACAGAACTGATGAAGTAACTATTCACCTTGGTTTTCATTTAAATTTATTCATTTTTATACACCAGTTTTCATTAAAATGCCATCCAACTGCTTTGTAATGACAAAAGTACCAATATTCTTGGACGGAATTTAGAGGCTGACTGATGCTGGCACGGAAGTAGCTTTTGGTCCATTTTGTTCTGGAATAGAAATGACGCCAGGGAAATAGCTTACAGGAAATTTGTTGAACAAACATATCTAATTAACGGTAAGCATTTCATTAGATTGATGACTTCAGCAAAATAACTATGGACAAATAAGCCTAGATGCAGTCAGAAGTTGTTCATGACGTTTTTATGCTTTTTGGTTGTTTATAAAGAAATTGACATCGTTCCATAGAATTCATGATGGCTTTAGATGAAGTCATTCTGTTTTCATTTACAAACGCCGAAAAAGAAGTAAACGTGACAAGATCTGTGGCCGAATTAAGACTACAGTATCAGATAACCAGTTGTTTCTTGAAGTAGACTACAAGCTAAGGAAACAAGTAATTTATGGCAGTATACTATAGTACGGTCAACTTCTTTGGACGTCTATCAATTATTAAATTTGACTTCCACCCATATTATTTGAAGTAATGAATTCTCGAGCTTATCACCCACGTGCAGTGTATGTAGGCAATTTTTCTGCGGCGTATCACTGGCCAACTCAGGGTCGCTCCTGGCACCCATCAATGAGGTCAATTGGTGGTCGAGCTTAAAAAGTTCTTGAAGGCCAGCAATTAGAGTGGTGATTGCATTTCAACATCAAATCTTTTTCATGTTAAAATACTCAGTTCATCGTTAGTTGGTACTCATGTGAGAACTTGTGCTTTATTTAATTTCTTTCATGAGAAATAAATTACACTAGACGCTGCTCACGATAAATGGTCCTTGGATTTTTATAATAGTTTTACGAATAACCTTTCTTGTTATCAATAAAATTATTGATCGATGATTTTAATCGATATAGAATTAATCTAAATTAAAAAAGGTCCGATCTAACCTCCGTTTAACTTTAAACCATCCTATCCTATTTTACAACACTTCTCTTTAACTTCACTTCTTGTCTGTCTGTCTGTCTGTCTGTCTGTCTGCTACAAATCTTGTAATCAAAATTTAATACACTTCTACTTATCCTATCGATCTGAAATTTTGCCAACTTGTGTAAAGTTGGAGACAATGCATGAATCAAATGTCAAAATAAATGATTTTAGAAATTAAAAAAAAATTTTTTTCAATATTAAAAAAATTGAAAAAATAATTTCGTCAGCTACAAATCTTATAACTGATATTTGACACACTTTTACCTGTCTAATTGATCTGAAATTTTGCACACTTGTGTGAAATCAGAGGCAATGCACGAATCAATTAACAGAATAAATAATTTTGAAAAAAATGTATATATTAAAAAAATTTATATATATTTAAAAAATTGAAAAGGTAATTTTTTTTAATTTTCGAAAATTAGATGAGAAATTCATTGTACATCTGTAAGATTAAGACTAAGATTGGAGATACTGGATTCTTTGGAAGTGTTGTCTTTAAAAAGTAATTTTTAAACGTATATTATTTAACTCATGCACGACATAGATTTCGATGGAAAATTGAATCTTTTTGGCATAAAATTTGATACAAAGTGTAAATTTAAAATTTTTGTAATTGTTATATTAATTCAATCTAAGTTTCGAAAAAAGTCTTAAAATGCCTTAAGACTTTGCAAGGATCAATAAAAAAAATCGAGGAAATATTCCGAAGATTGGTCAGATAAAACTTATTACTTTTTCCATGTATCGTTATTGATCGGGACGGTGAAATTAGGAGTGTAGCATGGCTTCGGTTCCAAGTTAGCTACAAAATATTCGAATATATTAAATCATTTGGCGCATAATTTCGATTTCAGTTTCAAAATCTTATTTCTAATATAAAAAATGGATAATTTTTTATAAAACTACCGCATTGACTGGAAAATTGTTCAATGCGACATGAACATATGTTCATTGTGATCGTCTCGATAACGAGATTTATAGGATTTTCTTTTGTCGTGTTAGTCTTAGTCTCTTAGCCCGCTAAGTTAGAACCTTAATTTATGCTCGTAAGATTACCTTATGTGTGTAAAACCACCGCGTTTAATCAGTGGACAATTAATCTTCTTCAAACGTAAAATACTAATTTATTCAGCCATCAATAGTTGGTACTGTTTTAATTTCAGATTTCAATTCATTTTCCTGAGCTGACTTTTATCCTAAAAAAACCTCGCCCATCTCGGGGGAGAACATCAGCAATGCTGATCAGGAAGCTTTTGGCGTTTGCCGTACTTTCAGCAGTGAAGGAAACTATAGGTACGTCTATTAAGTACCTCTCGGGACCTGCACCTGTTGAGACGTTGCTTGGACTTGGCGTGACCTCGAGGACTTACTCCAACATTGGCCCTCTCATGTGCGCGCTGATGGCTGAGGTGGATCACTTCCCTGCTGAAACTTTCTGCGTGCACAAAACAAACGGTGAATGCCTGCTCCTCAACTCGACGTATCTGGCTTTGTTCAACCGAAGTTACTCAACTACTGATGATTACGACTGCTTCAAGCGAGAAAACGATCTTGTTCCAGTTGGTAAGTTTGCGATGGCGGACGAAAATCACAAGAATTTCATATAGCTTTCTAACTGCCGGAATTTGTTTTTGGTGATTTTTTTATAGTTTTCACGCGTGGGTTTAGTTAATTAAAGGAATTGATTACTTCTAGTGATGGTTATTAACGTATGCATTTAAAAAATGTTATATTGCTCACGATAAAAATAAGATGACATGCAATAAAAAATAATAAAAATAAGATGATGATAAAATAATGACTGCAAATGCGTATTTTACGAAATCTGTCAATTCGGCTGTGCTATTACGATAGCAGACGCATGATGATTCTTCGAATTATGTTTCATTCATTCTACTGTTAGACTTTCTGGACATTTTCTGACGCGAAAAACATCTTCAGCAAAATAAAACATGGAATCGGCATTGCGGTCATTGCAAGCAATTATTCTGCTCAATTCGTATTTCTGGTTTGAAATGCATAAAAAACATATTTTACGAATTCATGCTATGCTGATATGTATTCATAACTACCGTACCCACAGCCCCTCCCTGCCAGACCGGCTTCGACTGGGTTGCAGACGTTGGGTGTGTGGTTGTGATGGAGACACGAGTCACGTACGACGTCGCTAAGGCCTCGTGTCCTAGCGGCTCCCAGCTCGTCTCTCTCTACTACGACAACTTCTGGAAGCTTGCTAACTACGTCCTGAAAAACTCTTACCAGAAATGTACACGATTGCGCATTAATAGAATAATTTATTTCGAATTAAAAATTTGAAAAGACATTCCAATGACACAAACTCGATTGAAAATATAGTTTGATTTACTACTGGTTTTCTTACTAGTTTTCGTGAAACTGGTGGCGTCACAAACTGGTAAACTCACAGTCACACGTCGCAACATCCACATTAGAATATCTCTTACTAAAACTCTCATTCGCACTTTCCAACTAACTCGTTCGTTTGTGTCAGATGGTCAAACTGGTTACATTTTGTACCACTTGGGGGTTCACCGCATCAACCGCGTGTGGATTTGGCGGACTGGCCAAGTGATGCTCTCCTCGCCAAAGACGGACGTTTGGGGGCCTGTCGACCCCAACGATGACTCGGACTGTGCATTCATGCAGATCTACTCAGGCGAAATGTCCATCTACATGGTGGACAACCCGTGTACGTCCCTCGCCCGCTATGTGTGTGCGCTGCAATGAGGACATTGTGCAAGCAGCAACAGTGCAAGGATGTCATACCATCATAGAATTACCATCACTCGGCGCTTGGATAGCCAGTTTTATTCACCATGAAATTGTCTGTATCACAGGATCTCTGTACCAGCCGAATACAACATTTCATTCGAGTACTTTACATAAATAACACACAAGTTTAATATATTAATCGTGAAATGCATTTCTTTTTGCGGAAACATTCATGTGATATATTTTCTTCCTTTTCTAGCATTGTAGCAATTTCAACCTGTCGACTAATTTTAAAATTATTATCTTCGTCCAAATTTAATTTTTTTTTTTCATTTAAGTCGATCGGGATAATCCATAGGTTTACCATCAGTCCATTTAATTTATGAAGATTTCATTACTTCTATTATGAAAGTGATCGGTTGAAAAAAGCAATGGAATATTAGCCTCGTAAGTTTTCGAATTTTTGAAACTCACAAAATGTCTTTTCCCAGCTAAATCAAAATGTTGCGGAAATTAAAATGACCATGTAGAAACATTTATTTCTTTATGGAATTCGCTTCTCAAATGCATTAATCTCATAATGGTACACTATCGAATAAAATTGTTGCATCATAATTCAATTTGAAAATGAGCTGGTTTAGCGTTTTCTTTTTACACAATGTTTTCAATGAAACTGGAAGTCTTATTTGAGTGACTGACACCTGCCCCGGTTTTGGACTTGATGTGTCGCAAATTTGCAGTAAATGTTGTCTCATTTGTGAAACTCCAAACTTATCGCTGGTCCTCAACATCGTGATGCGAGTCAAAATCGTGACATGCTCTGATGCCAACTGCATTGTGATTTTTTTGCCGCAATCGCAGCATGAAAAATCAAACGTTAGCTTCAAATTTTAAATAAAATCATCACATTGCTGTTAAAATGAAATCACATATTTCCCTTCTTAATAATCCCGCATGCTTGTTATTTTAAACAATGAGTTGTATCGCAGCCGTGCACCACCAATTTTGTGCACTAATAAGCCCTGAATCGAAAGCCTTGGATCTCTCCGGACATCCACCTACATATCAGCCGTGAACCACTCTGTTTTGTCCTCCTCCGGCCTTGCATAAAACCTGCCGTACACCACCAGGCCGCGGATCGAATATGACTTCGGGGAATTATTAAATTGCGTAATTTTACGTTCACCGCATCTGAGGTTAGGTTTCAGTTGGCATAGTTCTGTTCCAAAATTTATCGTCCTACGACGAGTGGCCGTTCGGCAGAGGGCTGGTTCGACGCACGGCCTTGATATGATTGTCCAGAATTGTTGAAGGCTATGTTCCGGAAGGCAGGAATCACGATGGTCCATTACATCCAGGGCAGTGATGGTCTTCGGCAGGCGACCCGTTCCACTTGAGCAGCCCTAAAATACACAGCATCTGTGATATATGTGAGATATGAGAGGACTATCACTCCTACATGCACGTGATATACTCGTGATATACCAAGCACCAATCTATTCGAATAAAATATTTTGTTTAACTACTTTCATATGCTTCACAATGTCAAATTTCAATAAAAGTTACACTTCTTCGGAATTTTTATGTCCGTGACTAAACTTTAAATGGTTTATTTGTTGGTTTATTTGTAGATTCCTTTAACTTGAATTGGTTCGCCCGGTGTCTTCATAAGAAAATTTTAATCGGGAAATGGATTTTGGAAAAAGGTTTTATTAATTTAACTATAATTTATACTTAAGAAAGCAGCTGCGTGAACATCGGAAAAAATTTCCGGCTATGCTGCATGGTATCCATTGATTCTTGAAAAAGGGCTTGAGATGTTTCTTTTGTGAAGGCTATTATTTATGTTATTATGCTGCAGGTTAAATCTAATTTAGCTGCCATGAAGGACTATATTTGTTTAATTATAATATAGATCTGTTGGCTCTTGTTTTAGTAATATGATATAATTTTCAAAGCTTAGTCTCCATTCCAAATTATTACCTAGATTTCTGTTCAACCTAAATATTTTTGCTAGATTTTTGAATGAATGAAAATAAAACTTTGCGTTCTATCATCTTCAGAATTTTAGGGGCACAATTTGCAATGATCGTTTTGTGTTTATTACTAGAAATATGCGAGAAATTAATGAATGGAAAATTAGCCCGCTCCCATTTTTCCTTCGTAGATGTGCCGTTATATTTTACATTTTGATAAGCTTAAATATTAATATTGCATGTAACTTCATGATGCGAGCCATAATTATTGAAAGGCTAAAGACACCTACCTCTATGGGACGGCAAATTTACAGCGGTCAAAAACAGGTGCTTTGATGTAACATGTGCTTTTATATACTTCTGACAGGTGCTTGATATGCTTGTGAAAGTTGCTTTCTTATGCTGGGTACAGGTGCTTTGATGTGCAGGGGACAGGCGCTTGATGTGTTTGGGACCACCATTATATCGGTGGTGTCTCGATTAGCGACCATTCTGTCAATTTGTGGCTCAAACTTTGTTCCATAAGGCTGTGCTCCCTTTTATTGCAAAAAAATGTTATCACGCGTTGGCGGATCATATTGGGTCGGACTACGTATTCTCGGGCCCAACGCAGCCGTGGACCATCAATTTGGAGCACAAATCAGCCATGGAATGGAATGCCTAAAATCTCCGTGCGGCTAATATTTATTTTTAATTCCTTCCAAAGCTCCAGCAATCACCAAACAACAACAAAAACAATTATTCCTAAGAGCTTCAATCTCCTAGTTACGAGAGCAAATGGCCCAGGGTGTTATGACGGTCTACATCTGATGGCTACGTCGCACATCCCTGCACACTACCACCAATGCTCCAATTGTGCTCCAGCGCTGCAATCTGTCACGCAGGCATGTTGGGCATGTCGAGGTCAACTCTAATGTGACCCGATAAAATTTAGCTGATTCAAATAATTGCCCTTTATGGTACGTGAAAGGCACAGTCAGCTTATTTTATGTCACGCGTTCCAATGAACAACAGAAGGAGATCTGCTCAAGTTTGGAAGGCCTTCCATGACGATGGCAACTATCTCCGCTGTAGGCAGAATTTCTTGCTTCGCTTGCTGGTGGAAAATAAGTATGCCTGGAGAAAGCAGAGTAAAGTGCTCTGAGTGATGCGAAATTTAACGTCTGCCCGCGAGACTGGCCGCAAGTACGGCGGTAAATTTGTCCGAGATGTCGAAATTTAGCACTTATCAAAACAAATTTGTGCTCATGCTCGGAGGTGTGATACTTGCATTTGAAGCTCTAAGGTAAATTATAGCATTACCTAATTTTACAAGATTCATACACAGAAAATCAGGAGCTCGATAAAGGTAGCAGAATCTGGGGTTAGGTGTTTAGATCATGGAAGCACGTTTCAAGATTAATTGAGTCTATAAATGTTGGCCTAAAAATTAAGGGTTGATTCTATGGATAAGATGAACATTATTGACTTTTTAGAGTGCATAACGAATGCAGGAACGTACCGAGTCGTTCAGTCTTGTTTTAATAGACTCATTTCGTGTGTTCGCGGACAATGCAAAGCTATTTATTCCCGAATTTTTCGCTTCAGGTTGGTTAGTCTTACTCCTCAATGAATTTAATCAGTCATTTTACAAGTGTATAAGCTTACGTGTTGAGCAATTTTGCAGAAGCAGCGTATTTGGATGAAAGGGTTAAACGAATGCAGTGATGTCGCAGATCAGCAATGTTCAAGCATGGACCAGCAACCCTGTGCTGTTGGTAAAAAAAAATACTTTTCCATCCCTACGGCGCTTTCGTAGCGCATTTTAATGCAATATAACTAATTGAATATTACGATTTTGATTAACAACGTAGGAATATACGATGTAGGAATTAGATTATGGTATAAAAAATAAATCCTTTTCATATATGGCCAATCTGGGGTAATTCATCATTCTATTTCACGTAAAAAGGTAAATCAGTGAAACCGCAGGCGGGCGCGGGAAATTTGTATAGTGTGATTTTTGGGCAATCGGAGGGACGACTGACGTCAATTTTTGGTGTTGCTGTCATACGAGTTTACGTATGGTTTAATTCGGTTACAATGCCTATTTCAACTGACTATTCTCCTGAAACGCTGGTCGATGTGTTACCAATCTATTATAAAAGGCTTTTTCCTTACTCACAATTCTACAAATGGCTCGCTTATGGAAATGGTGAGTTCTATCATTACTGTAAATGTATGTTCTATGGCATTGGCCACAGGTTAGCAAATGCAGCTGTCCTGTGGAATCTGCGACTCTGTGTGGCTCCCATGGAAATGATCTATTAATTCTATTTTGTAATCAAGACCACCAGTCTACCACAAAATTATACTAAGGGGAAAACAGCTTTGTAGTTAGGCTACTACCTATGACCTATGTGATTATTAAAACCAAAAATTTTCTATAGGCACTTTGAGTGACTCTGAGTCTGAGGAGCTGGCAGTAGCCTGCTGCACCAGTGTAGGGTTAGGTACTAAGACTTAAGTTCTGACAATTATTTTACAATTTTTAAAGTGGCAAGTTTAGTGTTGTACTCATAAGCTACCATAACCTCTATGATGCTGCCACAGTGCCACTGCACAGTGCCACAGTCTGCCTTTGTTTATGAGTTTACGTTTTTTGTTCAGCTGATTGCAACAAAAGGAGGTTGTATGTTTCAGCTGATTGCATCGGTGGTCAGTTTTGTATTTGTGGATTGAATCATAGGCAGTTTTTCATGTATTTGCAAGTGAGTGTACGACTGTGTACCTACATAGTGAAGATGTTATTCTTTGCAATTCCCATCAATAATGACATAACTACACTATTGTATTCCGCTCTTGAAATAAGAATTGTAGCATTACCATCAACCGGGGCTACTCGGGACACTTTTGAACGTTTTTCATTCATAACTTCTTACCATGAAGCATTTCATAAACAAATTTAGACTCATTTTATAGCTCTTTGCAACTTGCAAGGGCTATTGAATGGCATCTTCAAAAAATTCCATATGCTATTTGTAAGGTGCCAGAAGGCAGAAGCAAAAAAAAAGTGTCATAAACAAGATCATGAACGCCAGAGTGACTTTGGCCATAGTTTAGGGTAAACGCGGTATATTCCGACACTTTAAGGACGCATCGAGAAATGAAAAACTATAAAAAAAAACCGTATGCGTTACGTAAGTTCTGTTGCCTTCACATGACTCTCAAAACACTTCACTAACGCTAGATGGCCAAGACCTAGTGTTTTTGCAGTATTTCGACACGCAAATGTATGACGTCACCATTTCAACCATCAATGAATGCATGGAACTAAAACAAAGCTTAATATAAAGGAAAAACTAGAGAAGTGATGGAATTACCTACGATGTCGGAATATACCGCGTTTACCCTATGACCCTGCTTTTGTTTGCAAAACAAAATCAAAAACATGGCAGGGCAAAATCAAAAAGTCACCCCAGTTGAGAGTACCTTATTATTGATATACCAGTGTGGGCTTGATTTTCAAATATGTGTCATTTATGTTCCTCTGTGTCTGCCTGCTCTATGCATTTACACATTTGCTGTTTTTCAACTGTAGAAAATGATGGAATATGCACGGTTAGTTTTTCAGTCATGCCCAACCTGTCGGATACGAGTCTTGGAAAGTTATATTGATGGTCTTGGAGAGTCATGGAAAAGTCATGGAATTTTTTTTCCAAATACCAGTGGCAGTATGCACCCTGTATGTATATAGCTTTCCTGCCATTATTGGATCCTTGAAATTCTCTCTACTCTGCTAGATGAATTAACTCCAATAAAATTATTGAGAGATTAACTGCTCAATTGAGCAGTAAATTTATAGATTACCCCAAAATACATGAATTTATTGCTGCTCAAGCGGAATATATTTAGCCAAGCATACTAGTTTCCCATAATGTCTGGGATAAGTGCCTCATACACTTGCACATCTGACTTGGATCTGGGAGTTTGGCCAACCAATCCTGACCAACAAACTTGATTTAGTAACAATTCACCATACATCTTTGATCTTTGTTCTTTGCTTGTAGCATCCAGTCATGAAGATGAGTCCACTCAATCAAGTTGTAGCTATTGTGTTGAATGAAGTATGAGGTCTATATGGTATTATACATGTCAAGAAACTGATTGCCATACATCCATAGATTAACAAATATTTCTCTCCTGCATGTTTATTTCATTTAAAATCAGTTTAAATCTAGATATTTCACTTTTCCAATCCACTTTTACTGCATATCTCCAAAATTCATCAAATTTGTCAATGTATTTCCATGTATTTGACATGAATTTGTGTATTGGGACCTCCAGTAGAGATTTTCCTTTTAGTTTAGTGGTTAGTCAATAGAGAGATCCAGTCATATAAATTAGCTACATTTTTCATGGAAGAATAGTTGAAATGGCTATCAAAACTATTCATGGATGTTTCCAAGCTTTATTTTTTTTGCAATTTGTTGGAATATTCTGCACTGCAAACCTTCCATAATCACAACAAATCCTGATACCGTACTCCTTAACACATTTTATTAAGAAATCAGGGCTCATGAATAACTCTGAGTCAGCACACACCCTACCAGCTTGGCATCCACGTAGTGAATAAACTAAACCCCACAGCAAGCAGTGGAAGCCATGGCTCAGCTTGCCTTGCTCAGCTTGTTAGGCATCATACACTGGCGGATTTGGTAGGTGAGCTGAGTTAGACTCACAAGCTGGACTCCATGCTGAATGGAGCCCTTCAGACTAAACCATTTCATCCAATGTAGGGGGAAATAGTCCTTAAGTTATTTCACTCATTTCATGTTGTTATTATTTAAAGTAGAATATTTTTAAATGTCCATACAGTACCTATATGAACAAATTTTATAAGTTGAATTGAATGCCAAAGTACAGTCTTAAGCAGTAATAGAATAAGTATTATTACTATAGTTTGGATGAGATCATAAAAAATTCTATTCTTATGCATTTCAACTGGAGTTCCTCTTTACTTGGCAGCAAATTCTAGTAATATTTGGAATAGTTGTGCATGTATTTGAGAAAGATCCAACCTGGTAACTTTCTCAGTTCCAAAATATAATATGCATTATACAAGGACAACTTTTTTTTATTGATAGTAAATTTCTGATAGTTTTGAAGTCCTTAGCTGCAAAGTGAAGTAGTCTATAACTATTTTAATATTTCTAATGGTTCTAAAATTTTACAGTTGATAAGCAGTACTTCAGTCATCGGGAATTCTCCTTCACCTTGGCGGATGACATATACCTGCGTTATCAAAGCTTCAAGGACCAGCAGGAGATGGAAAAAGAGATTCAACTGCGCTGCCCTCACAAAATAGATATTGGCGCTGTCTATTCTTTTAGGTTAGTGATATGTATATACATAATTAGGATTTTTTTTGTTTGAATTTAGGTATTATAAACATTTAGTTACAATTGGATCCCCCTTGAATTTTAAACTTGCTTGTGTTTTTCAAGTAAATTTGAATATGATTCCAATAAGGAATTTTTTTGTTCCTCCAGAACTAATGGAGTTAGAATATTTACCAGGGTAACAAGTAAGGGAAAACCTAAGCAAGCATAAACTCAACTGGTTAGTGTAATTAATGAAAATCCAATTCTGACTAGTCCTAATAGCTTTGTACAAACATATTCTAATGAACACTTCTCAACGCAATCACAGTAGTTAGCTCATTGAATGTAAATATGCCTGTTCTTATTTACAATCTATTCCTAACAAAATTCAAGGTATGCTTCAGCTTCCACCCCAGAGTCACAATACTTGCGTAAGTTATTCTGGGTCTGTTGGCCAACTGATCGCAATCAGCGACTAGTCAGATCCTCCTTGCTGACTTTATAGTCTCCAGAGAGTAGGGCAAGTGTTGGCAGAATAAGTACCAGGTGCTTGTAGCTGTGTGATTCGGGGACTGGAATGTAAACCGAAAAGCAGGCATAGGGATGCTGGGGGACTATGCTCCCCGAGTCCTAGGCGTTACTAAACCCAGAACCGCCCTCGGCTCTTAATTTTGTTAGGGATGAGGATATATAAAGTGACAATAAATTACACTAAATTACAAACACCTAACTCGAACCCAGAAATAACTGATTTATTTTGTAATGAATTTACTCTACTGGGAATAACCTGGTTATGTTACATGAAGAATTAATCATCCTAAATAGATGGGACATGATAATAAACCTTTGAACAATAAAATCAAAGTTTACATTACAATGATGAGTTTTGATTTACTGAAAATTGCCTGTTTCTGAATAAACACAAATTATGCATTGCAACATCATAGCTAATCTTTTGAATATAGACTCTAGCTAATAAAAACTATTCTCTTATTATTTATTTGACTTATTATTTCCTGAATCAAGTCAGAAATGTTTGACTAATGACTTGGATGTTTTCTTGTGTCTACTTTGCACTGCCATTGAAGCTTGAATCATAGCAACATAGTAAAACATGCTTTTTCTTAATAAGAAATACCTGTAGACTTTTTCAAGTCATGTTGACTATAATTTTGGTTACTCTATTTCTTAGGCCAAAGGATCATCGCACAGTGCCTGTCTTCACACCCCTGCAGAAGGAACTGGTCTTTGATATTGACATGACAGACTATGATGAGGTAACTTGTGATATAATAAAATTATTTTTGATATTTTTTAGATGCTCTTGATAAGTGAGGGAAATGCTTCATTGAGTTGCATTAGTATGGTATCTTCCAACAATTGCAGCTTAACTTTCAAAATAGATCAGGGAACAAGTTAACATTTATCATGTCAGTCATGTTATCTAGTCTCTGCATTTTCTGTAATGGGATCAAAACAATTCAGTAGCCCTCAAGTGTCTAACCTTGTAATATCAAGAGGCTTGGATTTCAACCTTGTCCTACTTATGTAAGGATAGATCTAGATCTGTGATGAAGTTTAATTGACTTCAATATTGCATGGGCTAGACGTTAATTCCATTTAAACACTTTGAAATTTTTACCTAATTGCACACTATGTTCTGTCTTGTCCGAGTTTGCAAATATTTTGACCAAAAAAGATGGTAGTTAATGTTGAATACTTTGAATTTACCAAAATTTTATTTTAAAATGTCCTGCAATGCATGATTTTATAGAAAGTTTCAGCTTTTCTGTCCATCCGGCTCCACGGCTATGGGGCCTGACTACTATAGTATTTAAACTTTAATATTATTCGACTCATGAATATGTATACATTTACTTTTCGAAAGATTACTTTTGTATATCTAAGAATAAAGATTTCCACACACTTATACTTTTTATATACATTTATAATTGACACAACTTTGTAACTTGAGTTACTGAAAGCTTGCAAAAACAGCTAATAATTTAATGATATATTACATAGCTTTTTGAATTTGTGCTGCATTTTTTCAGATTCGGAGTTGTTGCTCTGGGGCGGCCATCTGCACCAGATGCTGGCGATTTATGACGATAGCTGTTAAAGTTCTCGACGCGGCTCTTAGAGGTTGGTTTTATACTAAACCCTTTCGAATCAAATTTCCTCCAAATTCTCATTATTATTTGCGTCACACTTTAAAATCAATGCATTTTTTTCACACTTTTCATGAAGCTAATGTCAGAAAAAAATATTAGGAGCCTTCAGTCAGTGGAAGTGTCGTAATGATTCTGTGGATATTGTAATAGATGTAATGTATTGTATTTTGCGGCCCAGTGAAAACAATTATTTTTAATTTTTTTCGCTTGTTTGCAAGCTACCTGCAAGAAACGCACACAGAACAAATCTATGTTCTTCTTCCAGAGGACTTTGGTTACGAACACATCTTGTGGGTGTACAGTGGGCGCCGTGGTGTGCATTGTTGGGTGTGTGACGCGGCCGCCAGACAGCTCTCACAGGCCGCCCGCACAGCACTTGCCGAGTACCTGCAGGTTCAGACCAGTACTAAATGTTTGCTTCAGTATTGATCAAACTGCTACAGTTTACCCTTTGGGGAGCAGGTAGCCATTTTTGGTTTGATACAAAAAATACGCATTTAAATGGGCTCGTCAGCACCTGCTTCTTTGTTTGAAGTTACATTCCCTTGCCTCTGCCAATAGGCAATCATCATTCTAGCAATTAATTGACAACGCCCTCTACTGCGCTGTTTATTTCTAAGAATAGAATTCAAAAAGAAGTTGTATTAATGCAGACACCTATGACCTTGTTTCATTATTTTATCACATTTGCTCATTTTCATTTGAATCTTCATTATCAATTTTAAGGAATGGATTTTTGCTCACCATGATAACCTCTCATGATAACTTCAGCATTTGTAATTTTAAAGTAAATAAAAAGTTTGCAATTCATTGAGTACCTTTAAATTTGTCATACACAAATTTCCCTTCCTTTCATATCCTCAACTCCAAGTTATTTGTCATTCTGTGTTGAAAGGATTAAATATTTCTGGTAAATTGATTACAGGAAATTAGAAGCGTCTTCTAGCGGTTGGTGTGTATTGTGAACCAAAAGATTGCTTCTAGACTTTTCATGGTTTAAAATGCTTTTCTACATTTACATCTACATTAACAGTTAGTTTGGTGTATCTCACTTCAGATGGCTGGCCTAACTCAGCTGATCTTTCCTTGCACAGGTGGTGCGCGGCGGAGAAAATCTGACCAAGAAAGTATCTTTGAACAGCCTTCATCCATCCTTAAAGTGAGACTTATTTTATGGTCAAAATTTTTTTTAATATTTTGGGCACCTACTGTCGATCACAAAATGATCGACAACAGATTGAATGATGATCAATATCAGAGGAATGATGATCAGATCGAATGAATGATCTCATCAGAGAAATGATGATCAGATTGAATGAATGATCTCATCAGATTTAAATTTGTGTAACGATTTTGTAAGTGTAATGACGAATTAGTTACGTCCCACCATACAATTACTAAATCAAGCATTATTCTCAATTTTTAAAACTGTCACGATATGAGCTGAACTATCCCCTTGGGCAGACGAGCATACCAGCTATCACAGAGCGACCTCGCGTGCGTGCTGGAGGAGCAAAATCTTGGCGATGCCGTGTTGGCTCTCTTACCGGAGTCCTCGGTTAGGGGGGAGCTCAAGACAGCATTTCAGAAGTGCTCTTCAGGAGCACAAATGCTGGCAACACTTGAGGCACATCTTGAAGACCTGCATCTTAGTAAGGTTAGAGAGACTCATTTTTTTGCGGTTAGAGAGTTAGTTCTGGTATGGAATTCATAGTAGTCATGCTTTGTTAAGTGGATCGCCATTAAGATCAGCCTCACACGTTGATTAAAAAAATTCTGAATGGTCCGTTATGTCTTGTAATGTTTGATCTAATAATTTGCCAGTAATGGAAGTTAGCGTACATTTAGGCTTTGGTCAAGCGTGAGTGTTAGTGCTTCTTTGTTTATTATCAACACACACTAATCCTCGAATTTGCATTGAAATTGGAGTTGAAGAGAACACGAAAAAGACGAGAACTAGAAAATTGCAATGATTCTTGCTTGTCTAGGTACCGTAATAACGGTGTTAAAAATACAGTGCATAGTTTGTGCAGTTAGAAATGTTTCATGAAGCCTACAATGATCTTGGGTCCAAATTGATTTCAGTGATATTTAACAATTATTTGATCCGTTATATAATACAAAAAACATCGCCAGTAGGTATATTCGGAGAAAGTTAACAGAATGCATTCATGGCAATTACCACTTTCTAGGATTTTATGGAAGTTTTAGCTCAATTTCTGCCTCTGACTTACAATAAGACAGTGCACGGGGTTGGACAGAGCAGCTACAAAAGTGTCACGTTTCAACTATCCAGGAAATGCGTGCTGTTTGTGTGTAGAGAGAAAATGAACCGATAAGGGACCTGCTAGAACTTATAAGCTCAGTTCTTGGCATTGTGTGCTGATATTTAAAGTTTTCTCTTTTCTTCATGTGAGTGAGCAAATTCAGGAATCAAGCAGCGCATTTGAGCCATGAAACGGATTTTTGCTCGCAAAAGCATTACCTGGTCATGGAACTTATCTAATGAATGTCATGAAAAAGCTTAATGCGTCAACCCGTTTAATAAATTTATAAATTGATGAATGGGCATCGAAGTAATACAGCCAATAGATATGGGACCACTGGCATTCAGACTGCCAGGCTTACTACTCTATTGTGCAACGGAGGTCCGTCTAAGCCAGAAACCACGCCAGTAAATCTTTTTCGCATGTAGAAAGAGCTCCTGTTTTAGCCGTTTTTTCCTTCGGCGGGTCTTCTGGCATGTGTCTATGCTTTGAAAAATCCTTTGGAATTTTGCGTTCCTAGGGGCATTGGTCCTGAGCGCTTCTTTGTCTGACCGCGGGCCTCAGTTGGTGGATTAAATTGTGTTGGCAGAATTCCTTACATTTTTCTTCACTGTCTCTCGCGTGTGAGCGACCGACGTCTTGTGTAAGCAACTTCTTGTACGAGTGTCTTCATTCCTGTTGCTTTTGATTTGTCACTTTTCATTCTTTTGTCTCTGAGACACTAACGCTGCAATACTATTAACCGTTTTCTTTCATAATTGCGGGCGCCAGCCTTGATCACTCCTTGGTAACATAACGGCATTTACCCCACTTTGTTATTAATACATTGCCTTAATTCTGGAAATACACAAAGCAAGTAAGGCATCGTGGTTGAAAATCACAGACTTGATTCTGTGTAGAAGCTACTGTATCATCATACTTCATTGACCAAATGTTATACGAAGTTTGTCATTTCGAATTTATGTATTCTGCTCAAATTCTTTTTACTCTAAAGAGAGAACCATCTGATTCTCCTTCCCCCAGCTGGCCCTGAAAGAACTGCTTTGCATTCTGGTCGTTTTACTGATCACTCTGCCTAAGAGCTCTGAGCTTTCAATTGGCTACGAGCGACACAGGAGCATCTGCTTTGTGAAGCAGAAGGTGGCCTGTGCTTCATTACAATCAAGACCATAGTTTATGATATTGAATTCCTTATGGCATAACCGCTAAATTAACTCTTTGGCTCCGAAATTTGTTCTGAAACTTCCAACTAAAAAACAACTGAGCACATTAGCTACAGTCCAAGGAGTTGGGGTACGAGTATAAATGAGAGTTCATATAATTTTTTTTTCTGGGAGCAGTTCTTTATGAAAAGCAGTAAAAGTAAATGTTCCTTATTTTCAGGCTGGTTACAAGAAAGGTCTACGCCCCATGTTATTGTACGAGATCGCATTGCAGCTTTGCTATCCACGTCTTGACATCAATGTCAGCAAGGGCCTGAACCATCTCCTCAAGAGCCCCTTCTGCGTGCACCCAAAGACTGGGCGCGTATGCGTGCCCTTCTCCGCCAGAGACGTGGATTCATTCAATCCAGAAGACGTCCCCACCGTCAAGTTTGTTGCTCATTATGTTGAAAATTACTCTCATACAAACGTAAACCAATTTTAATTTTTCTGTTTTCGTCAGTGTACTCTAAACTGTTCCTATTTTCTTCATATTTTTCTCGGGTTATCTAGTTTTAATTTTAACAGTTACGGTACGCTCGCCTAATCTGAGGGAAGTAATTTGATCCATCATCTCAACAACGGGAACAGTGATGATCAATATGTATTCATGCTAAATTTAATAAAACATTCCTACAATGTAAGTACTTTATTGTCGATTCATTAATATGTTTTTGAAGCTGGCGATGATATTCGTGACGCTGCAGTCATTGACTTGGATTTCAATGTGAGAAACGCTGTTTATTTGTACTTTTTTGTGGTCTCGCTAACGCATTCCTGTTACACAGCAAGCTGATCTCAGAGTTGGACGCTTGGGAGGGTAGCGACGCAGCGGGCGCACACTACAAGCGCACCTCTCTTGCCGCATACGTCTCCATCTTTGACAAGTTCCTTGCTGGTCTGGCCCTGGAGAACACGGCCCTCAGGAGGGACAAAAACGGTGAGTTTTCAACCCGTAGTCCGCCACGCGCGAAAGCTCTCATAAAATTCGATTGAATGAATTTTGATAGTTAGAACTATTTGTGTGGTCAGAGCACAAAAAATATTGGATGCATGCAAAACGATTCCGCCGCAAGATGAACCAGTTTATATTGTAGTCCACCATTACTACCATGGTCGTTGTGAGAATGATTCAAAGCATTCATTATCATCTTTTCAGCTTTATGCTAATCTTCATGATGCGCTGAAGGATTCGGAATCGTTTTGCATGCATCAAATATTTTTTATGCTCTGAATAACAATATTATAATAAATTACGGAAACTACTTTATTGTCACTTTCTGCTTGGATGTTTTATCTGTAAATTTTCCTGTTTTGCTAATTCGGCGTTCACTCGCCTTCATTCTGGAGTCAATGTAATAATTTACTTTTGTTGAATGCTCATATATTTTTCTCTCTTTTCAGATGAACTAAAAGAGTTCTAGGTGTGCTTCTCTGTCCGAAACCGGCTCCATTGTCTTCGGATTAATGCGGTTTTATGTGCCGCCTGTGTTCATTAAAGAACATTAAAGCTTCTTAATTATCACAATTGCTCACCCGGTTTATTTGACTCGGTAATGAGATGAATTAGAAACTACGTTTACGCCTGGAAACTGCCTTGTCCTTCTTTTGGTTTTGAGGATCTTTCCACTTCCTATCTACTAAATCAAATAAATATTGAGCTGTGATATGATACGTTGGTGGACTGACCCATTTCCGGCTTCTAGTAAGAAAAATGTAACGTATGAAGACTTTTTCGGTGTGGCCAATGTTAAGTGTGTGTCGTGTAATTAATGTTAGGATTGGCGGAGTGAAAAGATGCAATCAAACGTCTTAGACGTGACCCAGCAGCGATGCTCATGCCTGCTGGTGTGGAAGTCAATTTCTCTTATAGGTTAATTTTGGAGTGCATGTTTACCCAGTTGTGTGTTTTGTTTATTCCGGTCAGTGGCTGAGGATGTTGTCTGGCCGCTCCGTGGAGTTGTGTGACTCATGAAAATGTTTCTATGAGCCAAGACTTGAGTTTGCGTGTAGTGCTATTCTTGTGTGGCGTTTTAATTGTCATTGATATGATATTACTTACATGATAGTAGAGAGCTCCAATTATAGCTTTACAGGTTTAAGTAAGTTTGTGATTTTTATTGTTCACAAATCTAAAGTGCATTCCGCACATTAAATTCTTAATACAATTTTGCAAGCATTTGACCTTTGTCTACTCGTTTTTGACCTTCATGAATGGCTCGGCTTGTTTGTAGTCAAGTTTGTTCTGACTTGACAAGGTCTTTCCGATATTTTCTAGCAAAAACTTTATGGTTTCGCATTTATCTTACTCGAATACTTTTATGTTGAATTATAATTTTTTTCAATTACATTAAATAAGTAATTAATTGATTTAAATTTGATGCGGATCAAATGCAGAACAAATTGAGCAGGAAATGAAACGCCGCAAGATGAACCAGTTTATATTGTAGTCCACCGTTATTATCATGGTCGTTGTGAGAATGATTCAAAGCATTCAAGCGGGTGTCGATGTTAAAAGACGGCCGCCTTTGACGAGACGATGCCCCTGCATCTTACTTCCTGCTGTGCATAAACAAACGTCATTTTTATTAGAGTTTGCATCTTGGTTACCATTGTAGCGCTCGTCAAGTGAAAGACGAGAACTTTAAGAATTGAGCTCAGCAGTATCCAAGAGTTAAAATAGTATCATACCCGGCTGTTCAGTGAGTGGCACAAAAGATGAACGAGCCTTATATTGGTAAGCAAGAGGTTTATTTCACTTGATGGCTGCAAATGTGTCGTGTGTGTAATATTAAGTGATGATTTCGGTCATTGGCGTGAAGAATATATCTTGCAAAAAGCGTTCGTGTTTAAAATGAAAGCTAGAAAGCATTCAGGATGGTCAGACGTTACGCTCGACAGACGATGGCAATGCTCTTAAGTGGGATCACGGTTACTGTCTTGGCTTTCAGCTATTAAAAAAATTATCAGTCCTATACCGATGGTAGTCTACCAACCGTAAGATGTGGGCGATTTGCCAGAGTAGTATGGACATTCATCTTTTGGCCAAAAGGTTTCGGTTTAATTGCCAAATTTTGTTTGTTTATGTTATTTTTTATAATTGATTCTAGCGCTCAAATTAGCGACGTTCTGACTATAAGGTGCTTAAATTGTCAACATCGTAAAGTAAGAGACCATATGGAACTTGTTCCAGCTAAAAATTTGAAAGCTTTACGTTATCTCGCCGCGATCTAATCCGTCCGTTTCAAGTACGGTTCGCAGTTCAGGATCTCGTCGGGATACATTCAGCTCGTGTACCGTCGATAAAACAATAAAATCAAAAACTACGAATCTGGTCTATTACGACTTATGATTTTTGAATTCTTAAACTGCGTATTATCCATATATTTTTCACAATTTTCATGAATATTTTTCACAACTGGGCCAGGGTGGTCCAGTGGTTAAAGTTCAGAGTACCAAGATTGATGCAGAGAGGCGGGGGTTCGATCCCAGCTCTGTGCGCCAGTTTCTGGTAAGAATCGGCAAGGAGGCCGGCCGGGCGGTTAAGCACAGCAGAATCGTAGCAGTGAGTTGCGAGTTCGAGACCTCAAAATGCTGTGAATGTTCTCCGATGTTAAGAATCGGCGACAGGCCTACGGCCTAATAAACGCTGAAGCCGCTATTATTATTATAACTGAAATATTTCCGTCTGTCGAGCTTGCCTCCTTCAGAACGCTACTTTCGGAGTTGCCGTAGCAATCAATGGTTGATGACATTTGACTTAATTTAAACGGGAACACCTTAATTACTTTTGGTGTGTCTTGAGCTGCCTACCTAAAGCAGCTGATGGGATTGAAGTAGCATTGGTGGTAGCGGACTTGTCGCTTCGCGGTCGGCGACTCGTCTTGCATGCCATTCAGTGGCGCGAACGTTCGTTTCTGCAGCGCCCTCTCTCGGGATTCCTGCAAGTAGTCCACTTTTTAAATAAAAAAAATCATACGATAAATTCCATATTAGTCCTAACAATCGAAACTAAACGTTATTCGTTTCAGCCGTGGTCGAGAGCGGACGCTCGTGTTTTGCGGTCCCAGATTTTCAACTTTTAACTTTAACTGTGCCGTTTTCGGAACTCTTTTTGCATTTTTTTATGATCCGTGTCAGTGAATGACTGAATTTTCAGTGAAGTCAGTAAAATAGCTGTCTCTTATACACATCTAGATGTGTATAAGAGACAGGTCCAGCAGCTATCTCAATCAATCGTCAGTTATGGAAAGATCGGGTTCCAAAGGCCGGATCCCTTGTGAATCAAGTCACGAAAAGTTCAAGAATCGGCAACAGGCCATGGGCCTATTTCTTCAACGCCGACACTTCTATTCTATTCTATTCTATTATCTCCATATCAAATTTAATGAAGTAAAATCGCTCCAAAGTAATCGATGGTGATAGTTGAATCGAAATTAGAAATTACATTATTGTGATAATGCTAATTTAGTCGTACGACGTCTCTCTGCGGCCTTAATAACCAAACTTAGAACATTGTTCAATAATGATTGAATGTTTATGGGCCCATGTAGGAAGTTTTGTTGGGATGATCACCCACCAGGGCCAAGCCCCTGTCTCTCCAGGCCGCGTCCAGGTCCTGGGCAACGTCGCTCAAGATCTGTTGTCTAAGAGCCATCTCCTGCTTCAGCGCCGACAGTTCCTGCTCAGAAAAGATCGGTAATATTTCGACAAATTCAAACAATTTATGCAAACTGTGTAATTAAATGTATGTATAAGTTGAGTGCATTGTTACTTATCTAGCCTATTTTTATGTTTACCGTCATTAAGGTAGGTTGTCATTGCCACATTTATCCGAGAGTATTGTACCATGAGCTGTAATACTTAGCTAGGCACCGTAGTGCTAATTCCAAGCTCCTTTGTCCACATTGGATGTTGATGAAATAAAAACATATTAAAACGTACTAATAATTTTCAATGCAATCATACACATTGATAATTTCAAACCATTTCCTCTTCTTGCGAATCTATTTTAGGAAAAAAAAACTCAGCTGGTGTCGACCCTAAGAAAAAATAATCTCCGACTGAAAAGTTTTTACTGAACAAATTTCTTGTATGTGCATTGTACACGCATCTTCTTTTTCCAACTGCATGTTGCGAGCCTAGGCATAAATGCATATCTTCCATTACTTCTATGCCAGGTAATGCTTGTCAAATAGTCCAGTGGTTCCCAAACTTTTTCAGGCTGGCGGTCCCTTTGGCTTCCCAATGAATCTCTATCACAAATAGAACCCCATTTAGTTAACCAATATATTTTTTTACAGTTTAACTGTTTCAGCACTAGAAATTCGAGACGGCTCGTACAAATTTACGGCCGGACTCGTGACCAATCTCCAAATTCAGTTACTAAGGAATATCTCCCAAACTAATGAACGCAGCTCGATAAAACTTGGAAGACTTATTCATTAGGACCTAACGGTAACTTGTGAAAAAAATTTAAATTTTACCTTCATTCGGGAGTTATATGACGATATGGGCCGAAATTCGCAGTGTTCAAAGAATTTCTTCCAAACTATTGAACAGATTCGAAAGAATTTTTGAATATAAATTCCTTACTAACAAACGGTGATTTTTAGCTCGTGAAAAATTTATTCAATTCGGAGTCATGTTCTGCACGTGCTGTGTACAAATCGTCAAACAAACGTACGAACTTCTGACTTCAATTTCGCGGACTGCCGCCCCCCTATTGCCCCTTTCTTCTTCACCGCGTCCCTTCCCCCAGATCTTTCCAACGCCCCCAGGGGGGCGATATCGCCCACTTTGGGAACCACTGTCATATACTTTTTCCAACGGGTGCTTTCGTAAAATTCCATGTAAATGGATAAATCTGTACATAACAAAACCTTTAACCATGCTTTAGACAGGAACACATGGTAGCTCTTACCGTATCGAGTTTTCTTCAACCACAAGTTAGGTAGCAACACACGGAAGCTCCTACCGTATCGTGTAACCTTCAACTAAAAGTTAGGCACCAACACACGGAAGTTCCTACCGTATGATCGTGTAACCTTTAATTAAAAGTTAGGCACCAACACACGGAAGTTCCTACCGTATGATCGTGTAACCTTTAATTAAAAGTTAGGCACCAACACACGGAAGTTCCTACCGTATGATCGTGTAACCTTTAATTAAAAGTTAGGCACCAACACACGGAAGTTCCTACCGTATGATCGTGTAACCTTTAATTAAAAGTTAGGCAGCACCACACGGAAGCTCCTACCGTATCGTGTAACCTTCAACTGAAAGTTAGGCACCAACACACCGAAGTTCCTACCGTATCTTGTAACTAAAAGTTAGGCAGCAACATATGGAAGCTCCTACCGTATCGACTGCAGGGTGTGCAGCGGTGTGCATCGGCGCCACTGCAGCAAGCGTCACCACAAGCGCCGCCACGCTGAACAGACTTGTCGCCATGATGTCGTCTGCGATGTAATAAAGATCCATGTCGTCAGGAGACTCGCGGCCGGGGAGAATGTATTAACTTATATAGCAATTATTGAGAAAATATCTAGAGTGATAAACCGGTTTGTTCCAGTCTTGTCCTCTGTCTTGTGAAAACAAAATATATCTGCAGCAGTATCTACCGCTAGATATGAAGGAATCATATTGTCCGAATAGTGACTCACAAGCAGCTTTACTACAGAGACGTTCTTTGCCGGGTCAAACTGGATCAGGATGGCACCTACAAACGCAAAGAATGCATCGCTATTTGAACAAAGTATCACTCATCTCTCTGAGTGTCGGTTTGCCGCCACATTTCTTAGCGAGGTCATGAAACTTAAGTAATTGCCCATAGTAAGAGGGTGCATCAAAAAGTTCAAGGAACATAGACTGAAAATTCTATGAAAAGAATATGTGGCCAATGCACCTGAACGATCCTGTATCGATGTAAATTCATGGAGGTCATGGACTCTCAAATCAAAGAACATCCAAATCATTGACTCTCTGGAATAAGAATATGATGACTGTGCCTCAAATAAATAAGCAACCTACAAATGGATTAGTCGTTCCAGAAGCGAAAAATGTGACCAAAATGACCCCCACAGAGGCAGGCCATGCACATCAGTTTGTGGGAAAAACATTGATGTTGTTCGTGATCTCAGTGAAAAAGATTGGCGAATAACCACCGAATCATTAGGAGACAACCTTAACATCTCCGTGGGTTCTACACATACAATTCTGGTGAGTAGTTTGGGACTCCCATTTCAATCTTTTCTCTCTACGAATATATTTTACGGTCCTGGTAAAATCCCGGCACAAAAGTACGGTGATTACGGCTATATTCAAGCTTGAAACAACTAAGAAACATTGAAAGATATATGTAAGAGTGTAAGTATTGTGAGTTGTTTTGAGATTATCTCCGTTCCGTTTTTTATGAGATTTAACTTCATTCCGCATTTTAATTTTGTGACTGGCCGCCGAGATGCAGCGATTCTTCCACAAAATATATTTTATGGAACGAAAGACTTTGAGGCAGCTTTGCTTAGTATCCATTGTTATCTTTGAAAATCAGTGTTTTGTTGCGTTGCGTGCACTCTATGATACGGCGGAAAACTCCGTGAAATTCATGTATATCAATCACATCAACGAAAAAGACTAATGTTTGTTAAAACTAAGAATTTTGAACAAATAACTTTGTACTATTTTTCCAAGTAACTTGCATTCTTATACGAGATGTGGCAAAAGTTATACAAGAATGAGATGAAAGCTCGCAGTCTCCTCGCACCACTCACCCAATATGTGCGACGAGTTGTCACTGAGAGCTTCTGCTGCGAAGTGAGCGCAAGAACCTGTTGCGTCCCTTATATACCTAGAGCGTCGCATCAGGCTGTCGTGCGACATCGAAATAAAGCCTGTGCAAATGAAGCTATTAGCCTAACGCAATTGATTTAATTTATCTTGATCCTGCGTAGATGGGAGAGATCTGACTGTGCCAGCGCATGTTGCATACGCATAAATTTCGAAGACGTTGAGTTGAAAAAAACGTTGTGGCTCTTGATTGCCTTCTCGTTGTCGCTTGTGTTATACAATTTATCTTAAAAATTTGGGTATAGTGAAATAGTAAATTTTACGGGGTATATTAAAATGCAAATTCATTAATTATCGTGAAGAAAATAGTCAAGTTTTTCTATGTGGTAAAAGAAGCTGAGAACTCACCGGAATCTATTCAATCCATTATTCGCAAGTCTTCGCCATTAGTCTACGGAAATTGAAACCAGTATTTATTTATCTCTGTCGTATCTCAACCGGACTGCCTTCTCAAAAGTTCGTTCGCCGATCGTAAGTTCTGCAACATTAAATGCAATTTTGTTTCAAATTGCTAAGATTATGACATCAGTGAATGAAAGGAATCTGTAATAATGATTTTGAAACGACCAACTAACTTCAGAGATGCTGCCAGTAGTGGCGAAACTAAATGACATCATATTTACCATTTTCAAGGTTTGCTCTCAGGTTTGCTTATAACAGCAGCATTTCCGTTGCTCCCAAATGTTTTACTCATTACAGGAAAAGGGGGGACTCAAACAACCGTAGCTGCTTGAACATCCTCGCTCTCGCTGATAGCATCAACGCCACATAACTTCAATGATATAATCCAGAGTGAAAATAATGAAAATGTTTCTAGCATAATCCTCGGAAAAATAACATATTGGAAGTTATCAACCCAGAATGTGAGTACATGGTTATATTTTAAGCGGAAGATATATACACGAACAAGCAATGTGATGCTAGCAATCCCATTTCCTTATCGAACTGAAGTATAAGTTCATTATTACAAACTGTTGAATCCAAATATAAGGTAAAGGTTCAAAAAATTTGTGTAGGTTTTCCTCTCAGGAATCTATATATAATCTATCTCCCGATAGATTATATCGGGAAAGAATAGATTAAATAATTAAAGTTGAAAATAATGACGTAAATAGTTCAGTATGTCTGTATTGAATCCATTCCTGCACAATCTACTGAAACGAATTAAAATTTAAATTTATTATCTTGTTCTTGGTTAACATGTGCAACTATCATCAATCAATTAATTCTCTAACTATTATACATATTACTCGATGTGCGCATAATAGAAAAATTTGTGTGTTTGTTGATTATTATATTTATATAAATGAAACATATTACTCGATGTGTGCATAATAGAAAAATTTGTGTTTGTTGATTATAATATTTATAAAAACAGAAGGGAGAGTAGCTGGAGTGCGCGGAGCGATAGCGGTAGCGGGAGCGACAGGCGCACGCTGAGGCTGATGGATGAAAGAGCGGAGCGCGTCTCGCACGCTGACTGCTGCGGCAGTGTAAACTCGTTTTTCGACCAAAACTTTTGGATTTTATTTTTAAACCGAATATTTCAGTTTTGAAAACAGTCCCGAAAATTGGTTCTCAGGTAACAAATGCTTTTGGTTCGAATAATTCATTTTAGATACTGCTATCTTCTTATACGGAAATTACTCCTCTTTCCATTCAAATGAGGTCGTTATTTTGAATAGTCTCGCCCATATCGGGCATACTTTAATTTTAAGCCCATTTTCTCATATATGGAAAAAAGGCGTAAGGTGCTCGTCATTTCCGTCTGTCTGTCTGTTTGTCCGTCTGACCGTGACTTCACGTTTTCGTTCACGAGAAAATCGTTTCGTTCACTCACTGCAGTGAGTGAACGAAACGTTTTACTGAGTTTTTACTGAGTTTTTTTTTCATGGTAGCTTTCTTTACGTTACTTGCGTTAACTTAAGTAACGTTACTTTGTTTACGTTACTGGCCTTCTTACTATTAAGTTTTAGAAAAGCAATACGTGGACGAAAAAATAATGTATATGGGTATGAAATTGGATCCGGCGTTCGACTTAAATTTTGGTTTTCTAATTGCTCTGGGTTTGAAAATTCTATGTTTCACAACCTTCTTGCTAAACAAGAATGCTCGTGCCCTCTTCAAAGTAATTTTTTGTTCTTTTTTGAAGGGAAGGAATGTCACTTGAAATGCTATCGTTTTTTTTGTCGTGAACGGAGCTGCAAGCAAATTAAAAAATTGCACGTTACAAACAAATTATTTTATTTCATTAGATTCAATTTAAAAAGTTCATATAAATGTTCGCAGTCAGTTTCTCGTAGCATAACAGGTTGTCACTGTGTATAGGCTAGCTTTCTCTCGCCCCGTAAGTTGAACGCCGTGTACAATTGAGAAGCTTAATAGACGATATTTTATTTAAATCAGTCACGCATCTATACAAACTTAAGGGTATGAAGATAAAATTCCCCAAATTTACAGAAGAAACGTATAAATTAATCGTAATAATTAATGTTGTTGGTATCGCTGTAGGTAATTTGAATGAATGGCAGTAGGTAATTTGGCGAGTTCATAAATCCAATCAATCAAAGTGTCAAGAATATAATCTAGCATATCATCATTATTGTGCACGAGTCTCCAGACTCGCACTGCGTCTCCAGTTTTTGTTAGCCCGAGTTGCCCATGAGCTTTTCTATGGGACCACACAAACTGCAGGTTGACCAACAACAATAGCCATAATCAATTAGCATCGTGTCCCTCTACCGTGGTAACAATAAATAAAGCATTGGTCTTGTCAGAAAACAATTTCCTTACATTTATTTCCCACAAGCTGCTGTGAACACATTGAATGATGATCTTTAGTTGCCAATGTCTGGGTACATAACAATAATAGCTTAGGTACATTATTACCGTACATAGCAATCCAGTAAAAATAAATTTATTAGAGCTGCCAAATGGATGAGGGTGTGGACTTCAACATTTCTTGCTGATTGGTGGAAGCTGCCTCTTATATGTCGTTCTTATTTCTTTCCATAAATTAAATTAGAATACTTTAGCATTGTAGAGGAGTAGAAGGTATTGACGATTTTTGTCATTTCACATTTTCATAAGACAACAGATTATAATTTTATCATTGAGCCCCCAAAAATGGTTACAATCCAATCACTCGCATGTAACTTAAATGTAACAGTATTTGCATATGGCTGTATACCGTAAATATTGCAAATACTTTTGGATATGGCAGTATTTGAAACAAAATGTAGCAATTAGACTCTGAAAAAGTATATTTGCAACACTAAATCTAAACACTAAATCTATTGGCAAATCTAAACGCATTACTTATGTCCCGAAATTACTTATTTTTATTTCATACAAGAGCTGAATTCCTGATGTGTGGCTTCTCATTTATGAAACGCGCATGGTCTCCACACTTCCAGATTGAGGATGATCATGAATAACGCTGTACGACTGAACTCCTGAAACTCTATTCAATTCCGTATTGCGGTTTAGTGATATAGAAATTGTTGTAGTTACTATCAAGAACACGCATGCTGCGTCCCATCTTGGGGGCGATGCCTGACATCTTCCCAAGGAGTAAGGCTGCCAGGTCACCTGAAGTCTCACAGTCCGGTGCCTTAGATTGCTTTACCTACCAAGCCATCAATGGGAATTGGGCCTACGATTGCATGTACATTCGTAGCATACCCGCTACAGTGTCACCCTCAAACTTAGAAGCGCTCCTGTATGTTGGCCACTCGTAAGCTCGTCTGAGTGAGCCCAAGCCTGGCGACGGTGGGGTGAGGTGCCATAGAAGTACAGAAACGTTGTCTTGGAGTCCTCGGTTGCCTTCACTTTCTTTACAGCAAAAGATTTGCATTTCAGACTCTCGTCATTTATTGTACAGAGATACCTGTGTCGGTGAACTCATCTTCACGGTAATCACGATAAGACCAAATTAAATGACCACCCGCTATTCAATATTTTTCTCGGAAGGTGATGGAAGATCCGACAATAAAATGAACTAACTTCATTACAGAAACCTTTATCATATTTATCTAAAAGTACTCGTACATATCCAACAAACGGCAACTTTTAAAATACTTTTACGTGTGGTCTTGGGTGAAGAAACTGTGCTCCAAGATGCCACCCTAAACGCACACTTGCTTCTTCCTGCCTGCTGGTCGTGAGAGAGGGGCCGCAGTAAAGTAGAGCGAACGTTCGAAATAACGCGTGAAAAGTAATTTTGGCGTAGGACCCACAATCTCTTAGTAGCATATCTCTATTCCATCTCAACTTTTTTTATGATCACACAATCAAATTTTATTATTTTCCAGGATTTTTCTAAAATTTACGTCTAAATATATGGCACGCCGGTATCTGGTGGAAAAAACTTCCACTACAGTTCCTGGTCATTTCTTTTTAAAACATAAAAAATGACCAGGAACTACAGTGGAAGTCCCTTCCATCAGATACCAGAATGCCTGCGTGAATATTGCAGATTAAATTCAACCTAATTATATATTAAATGCGAAATTATTTAACCTTGTCCATGTAATTTCTATCATTTGGGATTTAGTTCCTACAGGTACACTAATAAAATTACTATTTTAAAAAATACGACCAAAAAATGACTAAGTTACCAATTATTCAATAATTATTCATATATAACGTTCTTATATTTTCGTTTAGTAATGTTTCTGATTTTTTCTAACTAAATTGGCTTAATTGAACATTAATGTTTACAAAATCTAAACTCTCCTAGCGATAAATTCACTCTCAAGTCCGGAATTGTCACCTATAGTGGAACTAAAAACTGTAAAGTTTATGAACAGAAGAGAGGTTCGAGTGCCGGCCTAACGAAGCATAATTCATCATTGTAGGGTCACACAGCTGCTGCCCGCCATATTGGCAGATAATGCATTTGTCTTCCTCATCGACCGATATAAAGTCTACGCTATCCTGGCCTCTTCTTCCTGCCATGGACTCCACGACATTATGTCTTTCTGGAGAAAATCGTTTTGTTATTTATGCATATATCGGTCCTAAGTGCTAGAACATTTTCTTTTCATTAGAACAAAATCAAAATTCAACTGTGTAAACATTAGCTTTCCCATTCTTGTCATGCATTTTTAATTGAATTGCTTAGATTTTTGTTTTTGATATCGAAGTACATATGGTGTCAGATTAAATGTTAATGCTAAGTTTATTATATTTAAAATTATAATGAATAGCCGCCATAAAATAAATTATGAATAGATTAATAGTTAATGAATAAACATTGAGTCATTAAATTTATAGTTATAATTTATAAATTTGCTCTTAATTAATTGAGGCACGAATGACACAAATGCGTTTTTTTATGTTTTCGGAAAGTCTTCTGAACATCCACGCGCTGCTATACCCAACCGTTTGTATGATCAGCAGCTCATGCAATGAATGAAAGAACACAACAATATTTTGGTGCAGGTTCACTGGTCCCGTGGAGCAGCGGGGCGGTAAGAGCTCAGTGACGTGACCACGCCTAATGGATCTCCCGCTGAGACCTCGGGAGCTAAACGGCGTTCCTGAGAGTGTGTTTCGCCATACGCCTCAGGAGAGTAGAAAACTCTGTTCTTATCTTGTTTCCTAAAATACAGAAAGTAATAGAGATTATTCATTTTAAAATTTCTAATACCCTTTTTCAGTTGTTGATTACTAAATTAATTAAAATTTGTTTTAGCCGCAAAACTAATGACACAAACTCATTAAATGCAAATCTTGAAAATAATAACACTTCTGCGGATGTTCATATGAATTGAACTATGCCGTTGTTTTTCAAGGAGATTACCGGAATAAAACTCAATTGAAATGTGATGTCACTTAGAATTTGCTACCATCTGCTGGTCTTTTGTCCACCAGGCTTCATATTGCAAATAATCATATCCATAGCGATTAGCGTGTGTGCGAGCCTCATATCAACTAAAATAACTGATTTCATAAATGCTGATTTTATCTAGCAAAGGTTCTAATTGTAACAGTCGACACAATTTAATATTATTGAAGCCCCTACAAACTCACTGATTAAATATAATCGACGAATGTTATCAGTAAATGTTTACTATGCGCGTCAAAAAAATTTATCGCTTTTTCTGTACAAGTTTTATATTTGCTTGAACTTGGCATCGAGAACGCAACAGAAACTATCTCTAAATTATTAGGAGGGAGTGTATTAATTTATGTCACAGCACGCGAATTTCGGATAATGATACAATATGCATATTTTCTGAAATACAAATTGGTAGTAAATTACATGGTAGAAACGCGAAGTAAATGATTAGAAAGAGAACTGGGGTGGGAATAAGAGCTTGATTTAGCCTCTAACTTGATCGATCTTACACGAGTTCATTAACTGTTGAAATGGAATAATACATCAAAATCACCGATAAAAGTTTAAATTTTTTTAATTAACAAAATTTTCAAATATATATCGTTCAGGTTGAAAACTGTTCTTCACGACTTGATAAAAAATTATTTTTGGTAGTAGACCAAGAAAAGAAGATGCGAGCTATTTAACATGTGGTCGAACTGAAGAAAGAAGTTCCATTAATTATTTGATTACATTCACAGGAAAAAGTATAAGCTAGGGATTTGATTTGACGATGTGACCATGTGCTAGTCCTAGGCTCAGTAGGCTGCAACACAGCGAGGTCGAGCACGAGATATTAAAAAAATGTATGATCTAAGTCCTATATTTAGCGTCATCCTTGAACCGACTCTTGTGACGAATGGCGTGTAAAATGCAGTGATATGTACATATATTCAAATTGTAACGAACTTGTCATTATAGTAGTGGCAGTTAAACAGTCAAGTGTATTGGTTGGTGTAGTACGTCCTGAAATACATAGAAAACGCTGTTTTGAAGACCAACCTAGTTATTTCTGACTTCAGTCAAATGTTTGTTTTGGCCCCTTTTGGGCAACTGTTTTGCCTTATAAGTTAATGCTAGAATATATACCAACTAAATAATTTATCCACAGGTATTTACACAGCACCTCACTCTAATCAATAAAATTATATTCCAAAAAAGACGCCTTCTATTGGAGGATTAACAAAACATATTTCATTTGAAAGGAGATTAACAACCTCCCTAATAGCATCGTTGACGCTCCGAGTATGAACATCTTCAAAAACAGACTAGACGAAGCTATGCAGGAGCATATGTTCAGTCCTAAATGCCTAGCAAATTACGGACCAGGCAATAAGTCCAGCAGCTATCTCAATCAATCGTCAGTTATGGAAAGATCGGGTTACAAAGGCCGGATCCCTTGTGAATCAAGTCACGAAAAGTTCAAGAATCGGCAAAAGGCCATCGGCCTATTTCTTCAACGCCGACACTTCTATTCTATTCTATTCCATTCTATATAAAACAACATATGGTAAGAGGCAGGGGCATTAAAATTGGCGCTATGAGTGGCGGGTTCATTTCTAGCTAGCTGTGAAAATTTTGCTTGTAGTTGGCGAGGTGGCTGAGTGGTTGAGAATAGCAAGATTTGGGCATCTAGTCGTGGATTAGAAGCCCCAGCAAACTGTAGAAATTTTGTGGTGCCTGGGATCGGCGACAGGGTAAATTTGACACAATTAACGACGGCGCTACTATTACTATTTACAAACAAAAAGACTTTTAGTAGGCATAGGGTCGGAACTTTCCGAGCCCATTTCTACGGCCCAATTTTACGGGAGCTTACAACAAACATGAACTTTACCAACATTTCGCTAGTGTTTCGCATGGTCAACCATGAGTGTTTCGGTTCTGCCAATTTTAGGAATGGCTCAAGATTCGGGCAATTCAACTTTGTTCACAAGTTTTGGGCAATAAAAGCCGAGATTCCTAGTAACAATAATTTTTTCTCAAACGAGTGACCAAATTCGAATAACCTTCGTCCATGAATCTATATCGACACTTATGGTGTATTTTTGGTAGTATAAAGTCCTTGTATAAGATATAATTGATTTATTTCTACGCTATGGAATATGGAAAACTGACATCATGATTTTAACCGGGAAAGGTCGAAGGGTTAGATTTTGCTCTAAGTTAAATTGATATTTCATACGAGATGTGAAAAAATTATTCCGTATAAAATTCGCATTCAAGAAAATTTTAGAATAATTTTTCGAGTCACGATTTGTTCATTTATGTTTACATTTCTGTGAGAGAATTTCCATAATTTAGATTCTGAAGGAGCTATTTCAGGAACATTGGTGTTCTGCCAAATCCGTTATTGTGATTTCTGTGTAGTTTGTGCCACTATTTGGTGGATTCGGCTGCTCAGTTGGACATCCCTTCTTGCCCATAGTAAATAATTCTAAGTTGTAAGTATGAAAAGGATTTTATCGCTTCTGTTGAAGTTCTTAATGTTGTAGATGTTTTTGAATTATACTAAAATGTGAGAAATTAACAACCTTTACAGTTTTTCTAGGTAACTCCAAGTGTTGATTCATTGAGTTTATTGTTAATAAATAATAACAATTAACAAATGCCTGAACAACTTGAACTTGAAGTGTTGTTTTTTTTTTTTTTTTTTGGTTAGAGTTAGACACTTAGGTAGACTGGAAACTGGATCGTGTATCAGGTGTTATCAAAATAAATCAAATCAAATATTGTTGGTATTTGTTAATGCATGTTCTGTTTCAAAGGCAATTCAAACTAGGAAATGCCTTGCAGTCTTGGTAGGTACCTACTCTCAGTCTCAGTCTCAGTCTCTGTCCTCTGACTGGGTCTGGCCGTCTGGGACTCTGGGGACTGGGAATTGAGCTTCTGAACATTGAACAATTTTATGATGTGTCAGAATTCTGGCCAATATGAAATTTCAGATGGAATTTTCCCAACCCTGGGGCCAAAAAAGCTCATTTCACAAATTAGTATTGAAAATTGCAGAGAATTTTTTTTTGGTAACTTTCAGCTGTTTTAGTTTAGTTTTCATTATAGGAATTACAGAAAAGGCATAGGAATTGGGAAAATTATCCGCAAGCATACCAAATTGGAATGTTCAGGCTAGCAGCCACTATGCAGAGGGTGGATGCAGCGTCGCCAACATGGTGGCAGTTGGCAAAGCAGAGAGTTTTTTAGACTCTGCCTGACTGCCTCAAGTTCATTTTTGAGTCCTATAAGTAAACCATTTTTTCTAAATAGTTGGCTGAAGACTGAGAAATATATTAAATGCAAGAATTGCAATCTAAATGTGTCGGCAAGATCTTCTGAAGGCGAAAATTTTGCCGATAATGCGTCGCCGTAGGTCTTTAAATCTTCGTTCACTCTCTGCACAGTGGGCTAGCAGAACTGCAGAAGTGCCCTAAAATTGCAGGTAAAAACACTTGTATGAAATTTACATATGTAATTGTCTAAATTTGCAGCAAAACAAGACATTTTTCAGGGGAGAAACTGGGAAAATGTCATAGGACTTTTCACTGAAGGTGTTAGCCTGTTAGGTAAAAGACCACAGGAACTGATAATATTGGCTTGATTCACAGCCTTTTTGTCTGATTCAAGGTTAGCTTCTGCCCAATATTCCAGTTTGACAAGCAGTCAAGCACAGGTGTTTTTGTTTTATTCACTGGTACTTCATGTTTTAGTTTTACCAGTGTCTCTTCACTGTCTTCACTCTTCGCACATACTTTTTAGCAAATTTACATGGCTCATGGCTGCAGACCATTCTAGAAAATGTGGCTGAAATCACCCACGAGGCATAAGATGAAAATGCTTGTAATTATGGTAAATTTTACTTGTTTGTATAGTCCTTGACTCCTTGCCTAATTTCTTTCATAAATTCTTTTGTTAATATTTCCCCAAAATTTTTAAAATTCCTGCCTGAATAGGCTGAAAAATTACAATGAAATTTTAGTGAATTAAAAATCTAAGGCATTTATATTTGTTTGAATAAACATTATGCATTTTGCAAGTACATCACTACAAGGAAAATTTTCAACTTTTTTCTGTACTATCCAATAGCTAAAATGTACTACACTACCTGTAAATGTATATTTTTGTTGCAATTTATAATGTAAAAGAGAATATTTGGTCGAAAACCAAGTAGAAGATTTGGCCTTGCAAAAAGTATGCTATTTAAAAATTTTCTCAGATGGTAGGAAAATAGATAGTTTGAAAAATTAACCTAGCACTTGGACCCAGCATGAAAAGTGACTTATGAAGGACGCATTTGCCAAGCTAAATATTTTATTTATTGCTTTATCTCAGATGGAAATTAAGCCTATGATAATATACTATTCTTTTTGTTTTTGTCAAAGATAAATTATATCTTTACTGCTAACTGACTAGTCTGACACAACTGCAACCATGAGTATATACATTAACAAAAACATTTATTGTGAAAGTAATTTTGTCATATTGTTTCTGAACTGCTACATTGCAAATTTTCTCCGGACAACATTTTCCATGATGCAATATTTCCAATGTAGCCAGAATAGGTACATGACTTGAAGCCATGAGGAATTAGATTTACTCGAAGTATGGTATTTTGGATTCCAGAGAGCATTCAACTTCACACATAGCTCACCTGCATCACACAGCCTTCACTCCATTTCCCCACAGCGTTTACCCACACCACACAGCAGCCAAGACACTCTTGTAGCGCACAATGCTTAGTCACACCACACAACACTCAATCTGCACCACAAAACACACACCTGCACCACACAACACTCACCTGCACCACACAACACTCACCTGCACCACACAACGCTCACCTGCACCACACAACACTCACCTGCACCACACAACACTCAATCTGCACCACACAACACTCACCTGCACCACACAACGTTCGACTGCACTACACAACACTCACCTGCACCACACAACACTCACCTGCACCACACAACACTAACCTGCACCACACAGTGCTCAACTGCACTACACAACACTCACCTGCACCACACAACACTCACCTGCACCACACAACACTCACCTGCACCACACAGTGCTCAACTGCACCACACAACACTCACCTGCACCACACAACACTCACCTGCACCACACAACACTCACC